CTGTCTGCCTGCAGCACCCCAAAAGGAAGAACATCTCACATGATGTCAGGAAGGGATAATGAGCAGCTAAGAAGCATTTACAGGAGAACACTAAGCAGAGAAAGGACATCTGATCTACTCTCTTGTCCCCTCACTAGGGCGAAACTAAGTATGGCTGCTTGCAAAACATCTCCATTACCCAACATTCAGAGGCTAAAATGACCTCAAAGACAGTCCTGAAAAATCCTGGTAGATGCTTTATCTCTTTGTCTTCCGAGAAAACAAAAAGTAACAGAGTGCTACTTCCATTTCTCTTTGTCAGCATAATGGGTCCCACAAATTTCCACGGACATCCACAACCCTAATTGCTTCATTTCTCCTTCCTCTCAGGAAAACTTTTTAGCCAGTTAAGAGCTAGCTATTTCCTACTGTTATGCTTAAAAATCTCTGTAACTGAAACCCATTTGTGATTGAAAATAACATGTGGATTGCTTTTAGTATATAGAATGACACAAAATCAAGAGTTTTAAGGAGTCTAATGCATCACTCAGCTGTAGCTCCAATTATTTACCAAACTCCCTTCAAAACAGGTCAACATGGTCCCCACGCATAATGGTTAATTCCTAATTCAATATGTAATGTCACTAACATTCACACAAATAACAATCATTTCTCTTCAAAGTTCAGCTGTGGTCTCTAAGACACAGAATTCAAAATCTACAATAATAGTATAAGGCATAAGCATTTTTTAGAGGTACATAAGGAAAAAAAACCAGGCTGGCTGTTCAGGCTGGCTAGAACATTTGTATCCTACCTCTTCTAACTTTAAAGATATCAAAGCAGTTAAAGCTTGGCAACCTTAGAAAGAAAAGACCAAGTTAATACTACATCTTTGCTGGAATCTGAGCTAATAAACATGTTCAAACTGTTGCCTTGCTGATAAACAGAACCTGCAAGTGCATACAACCCAAATTTTAAAGGAAAGCGCAAGTGCAGTACCACTTGAAATTTCTACTGCAACAATTGTTTGACCACTCTGGTTTGAATACTTCTTTATCTCTTGTTTTCAAGCCTTAGAATAAGGAAAAAATAATGTTGAACTTCCAGTTCTTGGGTTGTTTTATAAACTACTGTAAAGTATTTCCCATCCAAACAAGCTCAGTTACTTTGCAATGATCTTAGAGCACCTACCTAGCTGTAAAATTCTTAATATATATAAAAAAGGCATAACTGTACAACATTAATAATACTAGGGAGGTACTTAATGACAATTCCCACAATCCAAACATATCCAGTGTTACCAGAAAAGCCACAGCCATTCTCCCCATAAACAGTTATCTAAAAATAATTTCAATAAATGACATTTTATCACACATTACCTCCATCTGCCTCTTTTCAGCAGCTTCTGCTAGTTGTCTTCTTTTTATTTCCTAGATATAAAGTTAAAGATAGTGAAATTCTACTTCAATATAGTCTTTGCATTCTTTTTAAAGTCTTAATTTTTAAGTATGACTCAGAGCTGATACTAACTCCCACAAAATGTCAACTTCAAGTTAATTAGCATCATCTTACCCTGCATTGCCAGCCTGCAAGAACGAAGTGTTTCTAGTGAATATGCCAGAAGAGCAGCTGCTGACATATATACAGTCAAACCTCACCAGAAATCGCTATTCAGCCGTTCTGCACCGTTTTGAATGCATTCACTCAAAAAAATCCAGACTGGGGTGAAATGGCATGCAGTCTATGAAACGTCCTTTTAGAGTCTGGAAAGGGCAATGCTTGCTCTCCCAGGCAAAGTGAGCTCCCTTCCTTCTCCCCCATGAAATCCTCAGAAGAGGGGTACAAAGCACAGAGATGAGTTCTTACTCACCTAGGAAAAATGTCGTGCAATGGAGGGTAGTTAGAAGTGAGCAAACCTATGTACTGGACAAAAACGCCCAGCTTTTCCTATTTCTTGTAAAAATCTGGGTCATATTGGCCACAATTATGCACTAAAACGTCCCACTTGAAACCCCCGGTCTCCATACAACCATAGAAGTGCCCACACGTGATCCGTGAGGCAGAGAAGCAGGACGTTCTGGGCGCCAGGCCCCAAGCTGCGGGATGCCCCGGGTGGCTTCGGCCCAAAAGTTCTACCCGCCGGGGGCCGAAGGACGGGTTTCCTTTCCCCGGCACTGCCACTACCTCCCGGGGCACTAAAACAGCCGCACGGCCTGGCCTCCATGTTGAAGAAGGAAGATAACCGCCCCCTGCGCTCACCCTCATCGTGGCGACGCTAGGCGTCACTGATAAACAACAGGGTAAAGGAGGGGGGACCGCCCCCGGGCCGGGGACCGCCACCGTGATCCCACACTCACCGGGTCGGGCGTCTCCACCACGTCCTTCACGGCACTCCCCAAGCAGGGTAGGCACTGCCCCATGGCGAACCCGACCGCCCACAAGCGCCGCGGAGGAAGCGGCGGCGACCCCGCCCACGGTCCCCCCCCGGGGCGCTGCGCCAGCAGTGCCCTCCCGGGCCTGGGGCCGTCGGGGGCGGGCGGGGCGGGGCGCTGTAGCGGGGTCGCACGAGTGCCCGCGGTAGTGAATTCAATGGAAGGTGTTCTATGACGGCAAAGGGAGAACAACGCGATTGGTTTCCCAGCCGATGTAGGGTTCAGGGCCCGCTGACGGCGTGCTCTGCCAACATTTCCGACCCTATGCACCGCCCACCTCTGCCTTCCATCGGCGCTGCTGGTGCTCAGCGGTGAAGCCGGCGCTGATCTAGCTCGGCTTGGGTGGTTGAAGATGTCTCTTACTGGCTCCTCTGTTTCTTCCATTTTTTTCCTTAAAAGAAAAGAAAAAACCTTCTTTTCCAGCTTTTTATAGTAGACTCCAGCCTTACTGGATTCAACATTTCCTGAATTTGAGTGCTGGTGCATACATCAATCCCCAAGGATTGTGTTGAGGAATATAAAATGTATTATTCATAAACGATCATGCAACGTCTGCCCAGTTTCTTGTCTTCCTCAGTAATTTTAAACAAAGTATATCTTTTTTGCATCTGTGTTCTTGCCCTATCATTTATTTAATTAGCTTGTGATGTCATACATTATTGTGAAGTATGAATTTAAGTTTTTGTGTTTGTTCCCTGCATCTATAATTAGGCATAGAGTCATGTGACTTGGGTAGAATCGTAGAGTGGGTTGGGTTGGAAGCGATTTTAATGACCACATAGTTCCAAACCCTCTACCATGGTCGGGGACACCTTCCACTAGACCAGGTTGCTCCAAGGCCCATCCAGCCTGGGCTTGGACATTTTTGGGGATGGGGCAGCCACAGCTTCTCTGGGCAACCTCTGCTACTGCCTCACTGCTGTCACAGTAAAGAAGTTCCTCTAAACGCATACTCTAAATCTACCCTCTTTCAGTTTAAAGACATTCCCTCTTTGAAGTCCATCTTATAATTGCACATTCTTGTAAACCTTCCCAGCTCTCTTGTGTCTATGTACTGAAAAGGGCTTTAAGGTTTCTCTGGGGTCTTCCCTCCTCTAGGTTGAACAAGCCCAACTCTCTCAACCTTTCTCTGTACTAGAGGTGGTCCAGCCCTCTGAGGTTCTTCATGGACCCCTCTGGACTCTCCAACAGGTCTATGTCCTTCTTATGCTGGGGCCCCCAGAATTGTACACAGTGCTCCTGGTGGGGTCTCGCAAGAGCAGAGTAAAGGGACAGGTACCTCCCTCGACCTGCTCATCACACTGCTTTTCATGCAGCCCAAGATGTGGTTTTCTAGGCTGCACATTGATGGGTCATGTTGAGTTTCTCACACCCATGGCCTTCTCCTGAGGACTCCTGAGGACTTCTCTCAAACCATTCTTCTTCCAGCTTGTTTTTGTGCTTGGGATTGCCTGACCCATATGCACCACCTTGCACCTGGCCTTGAACTTCATGGGGTTCATACAGACCCATTTCAAAAGCCTGTTAGGTCATCAGAGGGGGTTACTGGGTTGCTGATCTAAGTACTTAACAAAAGTCTCAGCATGATCCTGGGCTTTCTGAACTGGTCATCAAAAGTCTTACTGTCATAATGAGAGACTGATGAGGTGCATTGGAAGGTGGAGAAAAGCAGGCTTACCTGCTACCCTTACTGGAGAGTCTGAGATTGTATGCAGGAGACCTGTGTTGTGTACCTGGGAGCTGCAGTGGAGGTATGGAGGTACTGCAACTTTCCTGCTGCATGGTGTAGTGTGTTAAGAATTAATTTTCTGCTTTGTAATGAAAGCATTTTAAAATTATTATTTTTTTTTTTAGAGTATCAAGGTGCTGTTGTTTTGTGGATTAAGTGTTCAGTACTTGTCAAGCTTTAGATTGGAATTGAGGGGATCTCCACTGCTTGCCGTTGCACATTGGACCCATCAGATGATAATCCCTGAAGGTAACTAAAATAGATTTTGCTGCAAATCTTTTAAGATTTAGAGGAAGATTGAAGTGTGCTTGGACAGAACTCTTCATGGAGGTAGAGAGCACAGCTTTCTGAAGGAAGGGTGACCTGGTATAAGATACATAACAGAAAAGATGAGTGATTCTTTTAATATGCTTATACAACTGCTGTAATTTGACACTGGCCCAACACCAGGCACCCACCAGAGTCACTCGCTCACCCTCCCCTGCTACAGCTGGGCAGCAGAAAGAGGAAAAAAAATAAGGAAAGGTTCTTGAGTGACATAAGAGCTGGGAGATATATTTTAAGGGCAAAACAGGCTCAATTTAAAGTTGCAAAGTGAATTTGTTATTAAGAGAATCAGAGGAGGATAATGAGAAGTAAAACAGGGAACTGGGGGGGTGGGGGGGTGGGGTGTGTGGAACAGAGATGGCTCCTGTGAGAAGATGCTGGAAGCTTCCACCATGTCCAGCAGAGCCAATCACTGATGGACATGCCACTGGCCAAAACTGGGCCAATGAGGGAGGTTGCCTCTGTCATGATATATGTCATGTCATATTTAAGAAGAAAATCAAAACAAAGTCACACAGTTTTTACTTCTAGTTAGAGAGGAGAAAAAGGTGAGAACATGTGAGGGGAAACAACACCAATGTCAATGGAGAAGGATGGGGAGGAGGTGTTCTAGGTGTCAGAGCCAAGATTCCTCTGCAGGCCGTGGTGATGACCATGGTGAAGCAGCTGTGCCCCTGCAGTCCATGGAGGTCCACAGGGGATGTAGAGATCCACCCGCAGCCTGTGGGGGAGGTGTCCATGCCATGGTGGGTGGATGCCTGGAGGAGGCTGTGATCCAGTGGAAGCTGTGAAAAACGAGGTTCACTCTCTTAATAAATTATAAAAGGTTTAATATAAACAAAACGACAATTAGGAGACAGAGATAATAAAGCAAAGGGTTAAAACAGCCAGGTGCCCTGGCGCGTTGCCAGGAACACACTTGATATCTTTGGAACACTCTTTTTATCTCATCCTGCTGTGAGGGTTTAATGCATATTCAAACTTTTCCAAGTAGTATTTTGCATGGCCACTCCCTGGTTCCACCTTTTTAGTACATGCACTATAAAGGTTTGATTTCTTCTGATCATCATTTTATTTGAGCTGGGGTTCCTTTCTCTGCAAGTGGTCAGTGCAGATAACAGTCTGGGCTCCATCATCCTTCTGCTGATAAAAGCCTGGGCCCCACTGTCTTGCCCTCTTATCTTGCGCAAGATAACCCCTCTTGGGGTTATCTTGCTTTGTACAGAGGGACATAGCTCTAACATTCTAAATTCTTCCATGCCTAAAACTTGCTAGCAAGAGAGAAAGGAAAGACACAGCAAAAGCATATAACATTCATCCTAATGCTTGCGAAAGTCAATATCACAATATGGATTTATAACAGAGACCTGGTGGAGAGAGGGGCCTCCGCTTCCAGGCTGGAGTAGCCTGTCCTTGGAGGACTGCACCCCATGGTGTTGCAGCAGTTTTGGCAGGACTGCATGCCCGTGGGGGGAATTCACATTGCAGCAGCTGTGTTAGGGGTGCTGCTTGTGAGAGTGGACTCACACCGGAGAAGTTCATGGAGAACTGTCTCCTATGGGATGGACCTCACAGGGGAAGGACTCCTCTCCCAGAGCAGCAGAAGAAAATCTCAGTGATGAACTACCAAAACTCCCACGCCCTGTCTCCCTGTGCCTGTTGGTGGGAAGGAGGGAGGGGCTGGTGGGGAAAAGGTGTTTTAAGGACTTATTTTACTTCTCATTATCCTCCTCTGATTCTCTTAATAACAAATTCACTTTGCAACTCTAAATTGAGCTTGTTTTGCCCTTAAAATATTTCTCCTGGTCCTTATCTCACTCATGAACCCTTCTTTATTTTTTTTTACCCCTCTCTGCTGCCCAGCTGTAGTAGGGGAGGGTAAGCAAGCAACTTTGGTGGGTGCATGGTCTTGGGCTAGTGTCAAACCACAACAGTGCTCTAGAAAATACATATAATTGAGCCAATAAATTCTGCTGCACTTCAGGCATGCTGCTTGTTTTAGAGCCTCAGCTACTTTGTTCTGGCTCCTTTGTTCTTGAGGGGATGAAGAGCAGCCATTTGTGTAGTCTTCTTTCCAAAGCAGTTACTGGAGTCTCAGGCTTAGGATGACTGTAAGGAGTCAGCAAACAATGCGACTGATTATTTTTATTCATAATATTTTATGTATATATGAGGAAGTTGATTCCCACCATAAAGATCACGGAATCTTAAAACATAAGTTCTATGTCACCTTAGAACTTTATAGTACTTCTACTGGTGCTCATGATGGGAAAAAGATAAGGATCTTTTCTTACTGCTTCCACATTAGGGTCTTTATTATTATAATAAATGGATTGTGGGCCAAGAGAAAAGAGGTGGTTGCAGAGGATGAGCGCACAATTTAGTGACTTCGTTATTTGAGTTTTCCTAGAGGAACTTTCAAGGGTTCCTTCTGACAAGAACCTTTGATTTGTACCTATCTGGAAACATTTGACACAGATTTCTATGTAGTAGCTGGTTTTGTACATTTTGGAAAACTGTATCTTAAATCCCTAACATTAGACAGAAGATAACTATACATGTCCATACCAGATTAGCAGTGGAATAATAACGAACTTTAATTTTTCCCTCTACTTAGATGGGATTCAACCCAAAATGTAGAGAAGGACAGGGGCTCTGTAAGGAGCAGTTAGATGAATATATACAATTAATAATTAATGGCAGATTAAATGTACTAATTCTCAATATCATTGTGTGAAAAATGAGATTCACTCTCCTGATAATTTTTAAAAGGTTTAATATAAAAAAAAAAAAGACAATAGGAGACAAAGATAACAAAGCAAAAAGTTAAATGGCCGGGTGCTTGGCTTTCTGCCAAGAGCACACCTGGTGCTTTGGAAACACCCTTTATATAGCATTTGTACAGTCTGGACTGTATGCATATTCAAACTCTTCTAGGAAATGTTTTGCATGACCACACCTCAGGTCCGCCTTTTTAGAGCATGCACGTTTCTTGACTTTGTGGTTTTAATTTCTTTATTATCATCTTTTAATTTGGGCTTGGGCTTCTTCTTCCACAGGCGGTAAGCATTGATAGCAGCCTGGGCCCCATCATTTGTTCACTGGAGGTTATCCTGCCCATTCAGACAGGACTTAACCCTAACATCTAAAATTCTTCATGACCTACATCTAAATTCTAGCTAATAGCAAGAGAAAAAGAAAAAGACATAGCAAAAGCTGTCTAACATTATACATATAACATTCATCTTAATACTTGCAAAATCACTATATGTATTTATAACAATTGGAAATTTTTTACATCTTTTAAAAAGATGGTAGCAAGGTGTTTTTTTTATTTTACTTTTTTTATTTTTTATTATTCTAACTTTCTAACCAGAGGTGAGCAAATATGATGTAGTGCTTAATTCTAGATCACAGATGCAGATATTCATTGTTCACTTTATGATTTTCCTCAAATTTATTTTTATGTTTTAGTGTAGAGGTTACTGTAAATGTCAGATTGCAATCCAAGATCTGTAAGGTCTCTGAGAGTACAGTTTTTGTTGGGGTCCATGAAAACAGAGCTTTTTTTGAAGTTATACCTTAACTTGCTTCATAAGGTTTCAGCTAATCTTCATAGTTTTCCTTCATCAGCAATGAATCCCTTTTTATTAGTTTCACGTCTTCATAGATTGTCACAACTGTTCCACAGAAACAAGACAAGACAGCTTTACAGGGTTAAGGATGTTGCTAATTGGTGACTAAAAACATGCACACTAAATACAAGCCTTTTGTCTATACCTTTTCCTTATGTGCAAAAAAACATACGTATAAGCACTGGAACATTTGGGAAGATTCAGTGTAAAACTCAGTAGTATCATAACCTTGAATAAAATCTGTAAAAGCATATAATGATAAACTCTAAATCCTTGTGAAACTTCCTTCCACTTTCTGGCTAAACCAAAGAATGCTTATAGGTACTGTGCTGAGCATGTTCATAAGATGCTTTTGTCAGTCCAGAATACCTCAGTTGGACAGTAATTAGGGAATACAAAAAGAACATCTGTTTACAGTTACTATATCCAAGCATAAATTTTCTTCATTAAATAGCTTCTGTTTGAGTACAAGGGCAGTTAAACCAAGAGGAAGATTTCACTACTTATCAAGCTCAGTATGCACTCTGCTTGCCTTTGTGCTGCTACACAGTCTGAAAAATCACTGTGCACCTTTCCAAGCCATAGAGCTGCATATGTTTCCTCCCTCAAGCATGTTAGCAGAGGTAGACTTGGAGTTATTTGGTATAAAATTAATTCTAAAACAAGTAAAATTTTCCTCACATCTGGATGAGAATGGGAACAGATGATTCTTGGCTTTTGTAGATTCTACTTGATTTCTGCAGGCACTGATATTCTCTAGCCCTGCCTAGGGCACCTCTTTCATATCTTGGATATGGAAAGGAATTAAGCTCTCACAGATCTTGCTTCTGCATGTCAAATAAGCCTCACCAGTTTGACACAGGGGTTTACAGTCTGTTCCCGGCTATGAACTCTGGATTCCAAGAGACTGGTACAGCTATAAAGCACCCTATTAAAAATATATATTCTGGCTGAAATTTTATCCTGCTCAAAATTGTCTTGATACTGCTGTTCTAACACTCTGTGGTTCTTTTTCTACTGGTTGATCACTCACTAATATGGGTCACTCTGTATAGTCGCATCTTTAGACTTGAGAAATGCTTCAGCCCTTACCAAACAGAGTGGCATGAAAAAAGTGGGTTGTGGGAGCAGGGACATCTAGCAGAGTCTTCTACAAGGCTCTTGTATTTTCATACGTAAGTGTACTATTTGTGTGTGTTTGCATTGTTGGATCTTTTATGAAGAACTCATTAATTTGCTTATTGGGGAACACTTGGATTCACTCACAGGTTTTAAATCAGTGTTGCAAGGTTGGGGGAACCCAAAAAGGAAAGGACACAGACGTGGATTTCTTGTTCTTTCATCCTGGAAATGTGACTTTAAAGTTAAACCTTTACCTTAAGACAAAAGTAATACACAGTTTCTCTGCCGAAAGAAAGCATCACAAATTGATGTTGGCAGTCAACACATGCTGGAATGTCTGACAACATACTCGACTAAAATCTACCACTTTTCTTTTTCCTTTTTTTGTGTAGAGTATCAGACTAGAACTTAAGGATAAAACTTTTAATGACACATAAATTAGTCTGCCACCATGCATGCATATTCTGACATGTATAAGACATGTATGGTAACATGTGATTACATGAACATACCAACACTTCTTTCCCTCAATTGTGTCCTTGAAACAAGACAAGAACATACCTAAACTTCACCTAGACACAATGACTATATCTAAATATATGAGTAATGATTTTAGGATTTCATTTACAGGGAAATGGTACATCATAGTCAAATAAACAGAGAATAGAAACTGGAAAACTAAAGGTAAAAAACAATTATTTAACATGATAATGAAGTTCTAGGAAGTTCTAACCATTGAATTCCAGAGTTATATGGAAAAACAAGAACATTTGACACACTGTTAGAACAAGCACAATTCTGGTATGTCAGTTAACAATAATGTAATATGTAACTATGTAATGTAGTATGTAACTATGTAATATCTTTATTTTTCAATTTGAAATAGTGTGATTTGAAGAAAAATTTCATAAAATTACATGAAAACTTCTGCTTTCCTTGAGACTGACTATATTTAGTGAAGGCTCTATGAAGAATTGAACAGAAATCATAACATAGGCCATATAGGTTTCATCCCACTAACCATAATGAAAATTAATAAATAAGTAAAGATGTGGTTTACTTTCAGAATTTCACTGATGTATTGTGCTGCCAATAAATCTTGTTGCAGTAAATGATCTTTATTCACTGGTGTTTCCAAAAATGCTTACCATATTTTTCAGGGCACATAAGTGTCTGAGAATGTTAATGTTTTAATCCCATACTAGAGGAGTGTGGCAATGGGAAGAGGATTTCATGTTCCCACGCTTTTATTGTCCTCTGATATCCACTCACAGTAAATCAAATGTATACTTGTTTATTACCAACTTTAAAACAAATCAGCAGACAATGAGCCTTTCCAGGGAAACACTAGACTTGTGCAGTGATTAAGATGCTTGGCAGCTCCTGGCAAGCATTGGGAGCACACGGGAGATTTTATGACTGGTAGTGGAGAAAAAGCTGTGCAGGTGGAAAAAGTGGAATAGTAAGTGGAAAGCATAATTGCCTCATGCTGACTCCTTAAAAAAGCTAAAAATTCCTGCACAGACTAAGATCTCCTACAAGTCTCAGTAGGTGTGTTGGTATGATGTGTATCCCTTCCATATTAATGACTTCCAAATAAGGTTACGTGAAAAAGGCATACATATATATATATATATGTATGTGTGTGTGTATACAGTCATAGATACATACATATCCAATATTTAGAAAATATCTATTTTATAGTTCAGATAATATAAAAATTATATTATATATATATGATATATATTACATAATTAAGAAGTTGGAAATTTTAATTGGAATAGAAATGGGTCATACTGTTCTTCAGAAATATAACTAATTGTCTTGAGATTTTTCCAGAATGAAGTATAACAGATTTGTTATGGCTGTGCATCCTGCAGCTTAACATGATAATTCATGGTATTTGGGGAAATACTTGGTTTTTTAGAGCTCCTCTTATTCTTCTTTTCATTGAAAATGTAAATGCAACACAAACCTCATTTATCAAATTTGTTAATCTCTGGATTAAGAGAAACTGTTAACTGATTTGCAGGAGTTTGTTTTGAGAGCTATTATGTTTCATCACTTTCCTTGTTCTTGAGTAAATAGTGATTTTTAGGATTACTGCATAGTTTAAATTCTTTTCAGTGTAGAAACCATTGTTTTGGAGACTTTCTCTGAATTGCAGCAGGAATAGTGCTGCATTTTCATTTACTTGTAAGTACTCATTGTTTTTTAATAGTTTTATTTTATACTCATTATTCCACTTTAGTACTCTTTTAAAATACTGGACACGCTATTGTTTATGTGAATGAGAAAGTGAGGGTCTGAGTTGAATTTCATGTCTGATGTTCGTCTAATTAAATAAGCTTAATATACAAAGGAGTGAAAATATCTCAGTGGAACAGTGTTTTGGTTTTAGGCTAGTCCTGTCATTTTTTCATGAAGGTCAGAAAATGGTTTTATTAATTCATTGCTTCTGAGAGCAGATGCTGAATGTCAGTGCTGCCTCTCTTACATTCCCATCAGAGACTTGGTGGCAGAAAATAGTCTTGAGGGATTGAAAGTGTTTTTAATGTTAGAAAGAAGAAGCTGAATCACAACTACATCCTGTACCATCTGACACGTCTCAGTCCTGGCCCATGCTTAGTGAAGGGATACATGATGCTTGCAATCATCATCTTGCCTTTATCCTTTTGTTTTCCTTACTTCCCTTTAAGACAAAAGACATAATTCAGAACTTCTAGGAAAGTGTTCCAGAGCAGAATTCAGCATGCATTTAATCCTTATTTTGTTAGCCATGTCTTGTGAGATAAGTGTCTGACTTTCTCCTTGCCAAAGCCTGCTTTGATGCCTAACTTACTGTCTCTCTGCTAAACAAAAGTCTTAACATCCTATTTTAAGGGAGGGTAATTTTAAGTGAGGTACTGCAATGCCATTTCTGATATCAAAATCACTTTATAATTATAGTTCTATACTGTATTAAGACTGATTACAGTTGAATACAATGTTCATATGCCATGATGAGTATGGAATGACTTCAGCATGCCTGTAGCCATGGGACTCCATTGAATAATTTTTACTCTAGTGAGTTTTTTTTAAAAAAAATTCCTTGTCACTAGAGGACATGAAGGATAGAGTGAGGGTTTGAATCACAGAACATCAGCCAAAGGTTTATCTCAGGAGGCAAAAGCCTTTATTTCGGAGTCTTTCAACCCTTTTTATAAGGTGTTCTGATACAGGTTATCCTGATTGGTAGAAGGAACAACATGTCCCTCATCCCATTGCTGGGACAAGAGAAACATACTCTCAGAACATCTGGGTCTTTTTTCTGGGAAAGTAAACCCTTGTTTTGGCAACCGTCCTTGAGAGAAATCCCCAAAATACTTTCCCTTGGGAACAGATCAGCCCCTGAGAGCTTGAAACTCTCTCAGGTTCAGAAAATGATGTCCACAATTCCTCCCAGTTCTTTCTTGTCATCAAGTCTGAGATGTTAAACTGGTGATAACAATGATTTCCTGGAAGTTGTCTATTATTGAAAAAGTCAGAATCAGTAAGGGTTGAATATTCAGCTTGTGTGGAATAGTACCATCTGCAATGTAATTGTGTCAGAATAGCAGAATGTGCATATCTGTCCTGGATTCTGCCAAGTTGCTCTTTCTTTCTGAAAAAGCTAAGATCCAACAGATAAGAACAATCTCCAAGTAAGTTGTTCCCTGGAATACCTCTGAGAACATTCCAGAGTAAAGGAAATAATTTTGAGCCCTAGGAAGTGTCAGTCTTGAAAAGAGGAGGGAAGGTTTTGTCACTGAGATTGTAAGTGGTCAAAATGGCCTTGTGAAGGAAGCTTGTGCTGACAGCATGCTTGGGACAGCACAGTTCCAGCGGGAGCTTGTGCCAGACAGCTGTTTATAGCCATAGTCCTGGATCAATGTGTAACGTTACTCCCTTTCATTTTTTCATTGCATAATAAAGCTACAGGACTCCAGCAACAGCCTAGGCCTTATTAAGAAGATGAATTCAATATTCATGATTATGGGAAGACTAGGAGCAAGTTAAGTACGTGGTCTTAGGCTGAATTTGGGTTATCTGTTTGATACAGGGGATTTTTCTGTTGAAATAAGGATGTCCAGAAAAGGGCAACAAGGCTGGTGAAGGGTCTGGAACACAAGCCCTGTAAAGAATGGCTGAGGGAACTGTAGTTGTTTAGCCTGGAGGAAAGGATGCTCAGGGGAGACCTTATCACTACAACACCCTGGAAGGAGGTTGTAGTCATGTGGGGGTTAGTCTCTTCTCCCAGGCAACAACTGACAGAACAAGAGGACACAGATGTGCATGGGGAAGTTTAGGTTAGATATCAGATAAAAATTCTTCACTTGAAGAGTGACTGGGCACTGGAATGGACTGCCCAGGAAGGTGGTGAAGTCACTGTCCCTAGACATGTTTAAAAAAAGGCTGGACATGGCACTCAGGGCCATGGTGTAGTTGATGAGGTGGTGTTAGGTCATAAGTTGGACTTGATGATCTCAAAGGTCTTTTCTAGCCTAGTTCATTCTGTGATTCTGTGATCTGTCTATGAGTACATTATCTGAGTTTAGTCCATGGACCCAATCAATCAATGCTGGTTTAGAATAATTTTTTATGGAGTTAACTTGTGTCTAGTATGGTGGGGAAAATTACACAATAATATATTACAGACAGACAGACATGTGCTTTATTGTTAGACAGTGTGATGTATGGCGAGGGAATGAGTGGGCTGACTTGAATATTCATTGTGGGCTTTCATGCCTGTGAACCTGGGCAGAACACTTCCGTGGGTTTCTGTGTGCCCTGTCAACACCATGGCATAGGATTCTACTGCTTTCTACAAGTCACTACCCTACCCATCTTCATCATTGTGTGTTCAATAGGGAGGAACCTGGGGAAATTCTTCTATATATTAAACACAAGTAATCTTTCGTAAATGCAACATCCTCTACTTGCTTTGCCACTACTGTGAGTGACTTTCTGGACAGAGAAAACTCTTCCAATTTAGAATTTTTTATTTTTTTTTTACTGAACTGTGTCTCGTTTTAGGATGTTTGTAAGCATCATTTGTACCTGGAATGCCCTGATATAGTAGAAAAAATACTGAGCAAATGCTTTTGAAGGTAAAGATTGCAAAAAAGCGCATCTTCATGTCCTTGAACATCAGAGTATTCTTATCCAGGAAACCTGAAAAGTGATCAGTATGCTATTTAATTCTGACTAGTAAATTAAAAAGACCAAGCAATCCCATCAAATGATTACAAGGTAAAATAATAAATAAATTTAAGTTAGAAATGTTCAGATTAATTTCGCTGCTGTTTTTTTTTTTCTCAGCCTAATTTCTGTTGGTTGTTTGGAGTATTTTGAATGCAAAATACTTTGTACACATGTGTGAACTGTATTTTTTGAGTTCATTTTTCAAACCAGATGTGCATTAACCTTTACTAAAAAGAAATCCTCATTTTATTGGTTTGAACAGTGTGAAATTCGAACCTTGTACACCTGCCTTCTGTAACCTGCTCTGTGGGGTTGATTTTGGTGGGGTTATGTCCATCAGAGATTTGCACTAACCTTGCTGTAGAGAATATTCTTGCAGACCAAGGACACGATATTTTATTCAAAGCTTGTTTGTACAACCCAGCTTACAGCCCCAGGGGCAGTAACCTTCAAGTCTCTGTAAAGAATGAAAATTAAGATGAGGATGATAAGCAGGATGAACTAGCCAACAGTAGTTTTGCTTAAGCTGCATGAACCCTGAAAAAAACACATAAGAATGTACTGAGTTATACAATAAATGAAGTTCCCTCTTACCTCCATGAGGACTCAGTGAATATTCCAATTGATTTTCCTTTACCTTGCAGCTAATCTAATATTAATTTATTTCTCATGAGTTTATTGTTTGCAATTAGAAGTATTTATCAGGTTAGAGTCTATACTATTTTTTTATTGGAGTCTGAGGCACAGAGTGCGTGCCCTTATTTCTGATACCTGGCTCTGACATCCAAGAAAACACTGGATTTCATATAACACCATGAGAACAACTGTTAAACAGAAAAGCTAAGAGTGTGAGTGTGTAAATTAGAGTTTTCTTAAGTCACTGGGTGAAAAAGCTAAAGTTTCGAGTTTAAACTAGTTTAGAGAACAGAAGACAAGATGGAGGATTTAGGGTGTTGTCTCTTTTCCTTCTTCTTTCTTCTTCATGTTCTTCTCCTAGAAGATTTTAGGTAATAGTAGGTGATCGGATAAAAAATGTCACAGTGTAGCACATAGGTGATGGATCATTTGGTCATTAAGAAAAATAATATACATGTCTATTGTTAATTGGATAAGCATAAAGATACAAAAAGATACATGGTTTGGGGCTATTTTGTGCTGTCAGAGCCAAAATGTGCCAGATTGCAGTGAATTAAACTTGTGCAGAAAGTCTGAGAAACCTGCCAAGTTTTGTGATAACATCCTAATAAACACAAGAAACAAGATCCTAACAGGCTTTGGAGCTTTCTTCCCGACCTGGAGAACTGAGATAAGCAGAACTCCCTGTGAGGGAATATTCCGAAGGAGCCCAACTCAGAGGAGACTGGGAAATCCACGTGTGAGAAGAAATACAGCAAGAATCAAAAGAGAGAAAAAAAAAAACAGATTAAAAAAGTTACAAACACAAGAAACAAGAGCCTAATGAGCATTTAGAGTATTTTTCCTGACACAGAACTAAGATAATTGAAACTCCCTGTGAAGGAGGATTCCAAGAGAACTCGGCCCTGAAGAGACCAAGATCCTGCATCAAGTGGTGCTCCGTGTGTGTCAGTAAGAGCTCAAAGAAGACTCGATCAACACCTGCCTGGACCAGAGCAGCTGGTTCCTGAAAGAAAGATGTCCGGACAAATATATCTGCTATCAACTTCCAGAGTTCCAAGGGCCCAGGACTTGGAAACATCGGATTCTGCTAGTCAGTAATCCACAGAGATAGCCAACGGGTCTGGTAAACTCTGTCCAACCTAAGAAATGGGATCGAATATCTCTAAGGAAGAACAGGCAATTTTACAGAAATTAGAAAAAATAACAGAGCAGTCCTTATATAAAATTCAGAGGAAAGAGTTGGAATTTCTACTGCTCTGGATAAAAGAAAATTACTCCACCATAAGCACGGAGCAATTGTTTGAGCCCTGTATATGGGCAAATGCAAATATGAGGTTAAAAGAGTTAAATACCCGGGGAAAACGGGGGCATGGAAATATGATAGAGACAAGTAATAGTCTCTTTAATGTAATGTATCAGTATCATTTTCCAAAATTGCCTTCCCAGGAGGGTGGGACGGGAGGAGAGGAAACCCAGCCACCCAGACCGAACTGCCCTTTCCGGAACCGTGGGAAACTCCAAAATCCGTCAGCGGCGCGGAATTCCCAGCCCCCAACCCTTCAGAGGACATGGCGGAGGAGGGAGGGGCGCGGGGGAAAACTGAAAAGGCGGAGGGTATCGCAATTAGTACAGAAAACAAAGTGAGCAGTTTGCAAGAATATTTAAGAATACGAGGTCTCATGGGGAAGCATGATAAATTGGACCGAGTATTTCTAGAATTTTCACGGTCCATGCAAACCCCTATGAGGGGGAAGAAAAGGTTAGAAAAAACCTGCGCTGTTTTTGAAACCACACCCTCAGAGAAACCCCTTCCCCTGTCTTCCCCAAGTACGTCAGAGGAGCCAGAGAGGACAGCAGGACCCCGCCCTCTGATGAAACTGACCGCCTACAGATGATGTCAGAAAAGGCTAGTTCAGAAAGGTCTTCCCAGCAGGCAGACCCAGAAGCCCCCCAAGAGGCAGGGCCAGAGGCTGCCCAAGAGGCGGAGCCACAAAATGCGGATACGGTGGGACAGCTGGACCATGAAGCATTGCTAACCCCACCCAAAAGGGGGAGCTCGGGGCAGTGCCAAAAAGCCTTCCCCGTCGTGCAGCAAAAGCAACTAAGGGGCTGGCCAAAATCGCTAAGCCACGCCCTGCTGCTGGACCAATGACACTATCGATGACACGGAGGCCCCAGCCCACCGAGGCGGAGGCTGGCACCGCTCCCCGCCAAGCCGCGCATGCACCTTCTCTCGTTCATGTCGATGTTACGCAATCCGTGTGTGAAAATAACCTGGAAATGGGGAAAATAGTTACGATTCCTGTTCAGAGTCCAGTTTCTGGCACAAGCAGCATTCACCTTAAAAGGGATTTATCTGCTAAAAAGGAGTTTCTCCCTAAATATAGGCTTTTAGAACTTTTTTCTCAGGTTCATATCCAGTCTGAATTACAGGTGCCTATAAAATCGGAACAAGAGCTGATTCGTGGAGCAGCAGCGCCACCTTGTGGGCAAACAGCATCACAACAGCCTTCAACTTTTTCTACATTTGTAAGCCAGCATGTATCAGATGACAACATAATATCTATCACTGGTGAAGGGATTCCTCTGACATCGATTCAAATACCAGATTTTCTGCTTCAAGCCGATATTTCAGCTTTTCAAAAGACTGCTCCAAAGGACTGGTTCTTAGGACAGCACATCTCTTCTTTGACAAGATTACAATTTTCTCCACTTCTTCAAGATTTAATGGATGCTGTGTGCAGCCAAAATCCACAACCAGTGGATTTTTCTACCATACTTACAGCTCCTCAACAACCAAAGCTACAATCTATATCAATTCTCCCTCAAAGAGAAGGGGGAGGACCTGATATGCAGGTATGTTTCAAGAAAGGAGGTGATGCTTTCAGAAAAATTGAGGACATTACTGTGCTGCCAGTGAGGCTTGGAAGAAGAGATGATGTTCCTAGATGGGAGCCTGTGGATCGTTTGCTTTTAAAGGATTTATTGGATGCTGTGGAAAGAAAAGGACTTGGTTCTCTATATTTTAAACAGTTATTAAAAGGTCTTTTCTGCAGTCATGGAATGTTGCCATATGTCTGCAAATATATAGCCTCAACAATTTTCACGGATTCGCAATATATACTGTGGAATTCAAGATGGAGAAAAGCTCTCCTTGAATTGAGCAACAAATATGCCAGAGGACCATATGCAGACATCACAGTGGCTCAAATGGAAGGAGACGTGCTGTTGCCCTGAAAACTCAGCTTCTGAGCTTGCTAACATAGTTTTCTAAGGACTTTCCCAGGACAGTAACTATAAACATACATATGTATACATTCTTTCTGTTACACATCTTGTGATGAGCATTTCTCATGGCCAGTGCAGTGAGAAAGTGTTACCCTGACCATCCAATCCCTGGCCATGGTAAGAAACCTATAAATCCTGAGAAGAAAAATAAACTCTGCTCTTTCCTTCACCACACCTCAACCTGTGTTCGCGTGATCTATTGATCTTCAGCGGTAACAACGTGCCACACCATAAGCCAGAAACTCAAATAGCAGACCTGCCTGCAGAAGTGCTTCAAGATGTTGTAGAAGCAGTTGAGCAGCAGTTTCAGCAAATAGCAGGCATGAACCTGTGGATTTGGGACATGTCAACACGAAGTCCAGCATCCCTGGGCTGCTTTCCACAAAATAGCTGAAAGGCAGAAATCAAGCAACAAGAAGCCATGTTTCAGATGTGGGAAACATGGACACATAGAAAAAAATGTGCCTTCAGAGCACAGATCCTTCAGGAAACACAAAAGCACCAGGTCTTTGCCTAAGATACAGAGGAGGAAGACATTATGCAAGCCAATGTCACTCAAAAAGAGATGCGGATAGAAAACTCCTACCCCTTCCAGGGAATGGGAAGAGAAGTACACAAGTAATGACAGTGACTCAGCAATCCGACATCCCTCAAGGAACACAATCTGTGGGGAGCTCCAATCAAACTCCATCTGCAGAACAATCTACAGCTTCCCAAGCAACCCAGAACTGATAACACTAAGAATTCTTTGACATTATATGTCATCCAAAGGATGTATTTTCGATCCTAAAGCATCAAAGAATGAGAACCCTTGTGAAGATACCATTGAAAAGTCCTTCTTCAAAGACCAGAGAACAGCCATCAGTGATGAACGTGCATCACTCTTTGACCTACTAATAGGAGAAGGCAACATTGAATCTCCTGGAACCTTCACACCTGAAGCTCAAGAAGCCCTTAAGAAGGTCATTGAAGGTCTTCAGAAGAGATAGGTGCATTGTTGTGCCATGCCACAACCATTCTTTCTTACAGTGCTAAAAAGAAACATGCAACTATGGTCTCATATCTCAATGAGATACCTCAAAGAAAAATTCATTGTTAATAATAGAATGGATGTTTTCCCTACAGGTCCTTCAGAAACAATTTTCACAATAATAAAAAGAATAATACAAACCATATTTGAGGCGAAAATGAAATGGTCAACAATAACAGGCAAAAATCTTGTAATAATTTATCTACCTTTAAAAAAAAAGGACATTTTAATTAGGCAATGTAAAAATCAAAAGCACTGTAAGTTGCATTGCTGGCTAATCTGCAAATTGTTGTAGTCATAATTAAGCTTCAGAGAAACCCTTATTGAATGAAGTGTCTTCAAAAATAAATCAAAAATTTTATAGATATTGCATAATAGAATACATATAGATATTGCATTTTTGATAATATCTGCTGGTTTTGCTTTTATAAATAACATGAAAAATTATGATAGTCATTCATCACAATAAATTTAAAAGATTTTTGCTTTGCTTCAATATTCTCAATGCATGAATGTTTTAAAAATGTTATCTTCTCTATTCATCTACTGCTAGTGTAGCACTGTATAATATAAAGTTATATAAAGAAATATTATATATATATAAGGTGATCACCAAGTACTAGTGATGTAATTACAACTTCTGCAAAATGCATTTCCTTAAAATTGAATTGAAAGATTACATAGTTAACCATGAGCAGGTTTCTTTCATTCTTTAATCTTTTCCTTCTTTCGAATAAGTATATTATAGATTTAATTCAACACAGTTTTCAGTACTTTCAAAGTTAAACTGAAAAAGATCCAAATAACAGATAATTGATTAAATTCTAATTGTTAGGAATTTTGTTTAAGAAAATTAAGCTAAGGGCATCCCTCCAGTTTGAAGCTGAGGCCCTTGCCAAGCCTCAACTTTAGCTGGATGGAGAATTTACCAATAAACCCAGATGTTTTCTGCATCAAAACAATATTCAAGTCAGTTTGACTTGGCAATCAATAAATTAATATAGCACTGGATCTTTACAGTGAGCTTGGAGAATTGTTACCCGGACATAATTTTCCAGTCTGTCACTGATTTATCAGCTGTTGCAGACTCTGGGATGATAGTACATTTTATACATTCAGTAATCTATACTATAGATTATTCAGATCTTATAATATCACATAATATCAATTATGCATCTTAACAAGTTCTTGATTGCTGTAAAAGTGTTATATACTATATGTATACATGTACATGTGTTTTACTTTGATGGTTTTTCATGTTCAAAACAAGAAAACGGATATCTTTAATTACAAAAAAAAAAAGGGGGAACAGATGCTATGCCTCAGAAGCATAAAAACCTTATATATTTTAAATTTTATGAAAAAGCGTAAAAATCTTATATATATTGCAAATTTTCTGAACGGCTCTTTCTGAACAGTTTTTTTACAAAACCAACTCTGCCAATTACCGGGTATTCTTCTAATGGTACTCAAGTGAAATTGGGAGAAAATCCTTTGGTTTTGATTAGATATTTAGATTCAGGACGGATTGAAGGTCCATTTCAAATAATCACCTGGGGAAAAGGGTATGCTTGTGTCTCCACAGGTTCAAGGACCGAAGTGAGTTCCCGCAAAGCATGTGAAACCATATCAAGCTGAGAAGCAAGCAGACGGAGACCCCAGAAACCGAGAAGCAAGCACACAGACGTGATCCAGCATGAAGACAGAATCTGGCATCTTGAATATCAGACAACCTGCGTGTGGAAATTTGTGGACTGGGAACTCTGGGAGGGAGGGTTGTTCAGACATCTGAGAATTCTTATGGAAGATGGGGCTGTTGAACAAGAAGATCAATCAGTTATTGTATTAGTGCCTTGTCCTTTCTTTGGTTGCCTTAGGCAACACAGTTTTGCCCATGAATCAGTCAAGGGAAAATGTCTGGAGAGCTCTGGCCAATGTGTCAGGTCTAGGCATCATCTGTTTGACTCATTCATAGTTAAGGAAAGTGGGTTTTTTTGGCAAAGAGAAGGGGGAGATGTTGGAGTCTGAGGCACAGAGTTGTGCCCTTATCTCTGATACCTGGCTTTGATATCCAAGAAAACACTGAATTTCATATAACACCATGAGAACAGCTGTTAAACAGAAAAGCTAAGAGTGTGAGTGTGTAAATTAGGTAGTTTTCTTAAGTCACTGGGTGAAAAAGTTAAAGATTTAGACTAGTTTAGAGAAAAGAAGAAAAGATGAAGGATTTAGGGTGTTGTCTCTTTTTCCTTCTTTCTTCTTCATCTTCTTCTAGAGGTTTTTGGGTAGTAATAAGTGATTTGATAGAGAATGCTGCAGTGCAGCACACAGGGTTTTGGTCATTGGGTCACTAAAAAAATTAATTAATTTTTAATAAAAACTGGGTGAAAATGAGTATAAAGATAAAAGAGCTTTGTATTTCAAGGCCGTTTTACGCCATTCGAGCCAATTTGAGCCAGTTGATGGTGGGTTGAACTTGAGCAGAAAGTCTGGGGAGGGCTGCCAAGTCTTTTGATAATATATTAATAAACACAAGAAACAAAAACCGAACAAGCATTTAGAGTATTTTTCCTGACACAGAACTAAGATAAGTGAAACTCCCCATGGAGGAGGATTCCAAGAGAACTCAGCCCTGAAGAGACCGAGA